ATTTTCGACTATTATTAGAACAATACAAATTCAGAATACTTTAACAATTTTCAGACAGTTCATACCATGTGTTTTGGGAAAAAATTTCTAGGTTCTTAAAAAAGACAACGTTCTACACAAACTTTACTATTAAATTAAGGTAAAAACATTTGATAAATTACACACTTTCAGATTTTACTAAACATGTTGTGTATAGGGTCCAATGAGAGGATTATATAATATTATAATATATACCTACATATTTTTTTGTTATTTATATTGGATCTTGTGTCCCAAGTTAATTCCTACGAGTCATTTAAATAAAATATAAATTGATAAAGATAACATAATACATTTTATGGGAACTTAGGAATTAAAATTATATATATATATTTTTACTGCTTTTTTAATTATATACATCGCATTGTGTTTGTAGCTTTAATTAGTGTACAGATATATAACAAAATACTCTTTTAAAACCTTATAATTTGTTGGTATGGGATGTATCTTTAACGTTTTAATGCTTTGGTGTTAGTATGCACACTATGCACTATTGATCTCATTAGCAATTAGTAGGTCTTCATGGTTAACATGGCTAATCTGTTGTGGACGGATAGATTTTCATTACGATAAAGTGTTTTCGTTTTAAAATATTAAAAACCTATTAAAAAGTATAATATGTCAATCCATTATATTCAAGTGATTAGTAGATTACTTTTCATGGGTATTTCATAGTTGTTTATTCGTCATGGTATATTATAAAACACAAAATATACAGTAAATATGTTGTGATGTTACATAATATTATTATTAAATCATTTTTAATATTCTTAATCGCCTGACCATGACTGCAGCTCATAAGTAATCTTGTCAATAATAACAAGTGAATAAATGACTAACTAATAACATTCAAATAGAAATTAAGGCAAGTATTGTACAAACTCGATAGGTAGGAAAAAACTCTAAACTTAAGAATTTGATTTGTACGGTGAGATAATTAACAAGCAATCTTAACATTTTAAATTGAAAACTGAAGCAATACAAGAATATAACTTTATTTTTTGTCTATTTATATATCTATATCGGTGCATGCTTAATCTGGGGCTTGAAATTCCGTCAGGTCACAGATCTTTTTTTTTCATTCGGAAATACCAAATAAAAAACACACATGCAAACGGACATCATAAACATGATACAAGTGTATATCAATAAATATCGCAGAAAAACTCGTCGTTTCGGCTTTCCAATAAAGTTATTCTATACGCGCACGCCGCGTATTGTATTGGCGCAGTGTGAATCGCGGGAGATCGACGGCGTTAATTATTATTGCTTTCGCGTCGGAGTGTATCATTGAGTATAAGAATATAATAATAATTGTTCATGATAATATTACTATACACACAGGTGGGTACATAGTATAATATATAATATTGTATAGGTATATATTGGACCGTCGAATCCGAACGTGCCGTCGTACATATAATAGCAACACAAACTGGTCAGTTATACGGTCGGGGTAAAAAAACAAAACAAATCGCAATGAAGACATCAAGCGGCTATATCCCGCTACCAATTGTTTGGCGCTTATAACAACGAAGTCGGATCGACGCCGAGAAATTATGACGCGTGTGAATGCGAATAATTAGCAATATCATATCTGCCGCCATATTATACATATACACGGTATAACTCTATAGATTAGCTATATGGCGATCATTGATCGCGTATTATGTGCGCGGTATCCACATAATAGTCTTTCGAAATTTAATTAAACATTAATAATTGTAAAAACGCAAGACAATATATTATGCATTATTAATAACCAACGATAATTCTAATAATAGTTATTTATAAGTTGTATAATATATATATACAGCGTGCAGTCCCTCCCGGCTCCCGCGGTATCTCCACGACGACGGGTTGTTCGGCAATCGTTTCAGGACGCCTTGACGGCAATTTAATATTATCCTCTCGGACCTCTCTAGTATTATTATATATTATAATATATTCACTATCGTATTACTACCGGGAGCGATGTATTATTCGTGTATAAGGTATACGGCATACAATATTAAAATGAAATGAATATAAAGCGACCTCTCTGCGGGATGACCATCGTGTGTACATTAAATATACACAATGGGCCAATTAAAATGTCGAACGTACTGTTTTGAACTGTTAAAATCGTCGTCTTGGCTTTATTTTTGTTCCATTCCATTTCATTCGACCGAGTAATACTATATCGAGTTCATTGCGCAGACCATATGATATCCGTAACCAAATACCTAGTCGAATGCACGGCTGTGTGCCCTTGGTCGAATTTATATTATTATATTAATTTAATCCTATCGAGATGGGACGTGTGCCGAAAAATAATCGTATTTTACATATTTATTATATTATATTATGTTAGTCAACGAGTATGGTATTTCACGATAAACACAATACATTATTAATATTATTATTATTATTGACGTGCGCTGTGCACTGTTAGAAATATTATTTGTGCTTGTTGTGTTTGTACAGCGGAATATGAATGTCATGAGGACAAATACGGCCGTCAGCCCCATGTTGATTCTTCAGGTTATTATATAGCGTAGTTATTCACCTTCTAAAAGCCGAAAAAGAAAAATCGACTCAACACGCTGTATACGTTTGTTTGCTATGTAAAATGATAAATCAAATATCAAATATAATTTACTGTGTACATAGAAAATACAATAGTCCGTACGCATTTTTTACCACATGATGGGTATTGGGCAATCAATTATTGTCGTGTACCCATGTGTTATTATAATGTACAACAAATAAAAAATTAATTTGATAAAAAAAAAATACACGATTGATTTCAACTGCGTTAAGTATCGTACATACAGCACATTAAGTTTATTTCATACTTTTGTTTATGTGTAGTATTAACAATTTAGTATTTACGGTTGATTTTTTTCAAATTCGTTTGGTTATTCAATTGTTACTGTTCTCACGCTGCCACTCACCACGTTTTCGAAGTATTTTTTATGTGCGTACAATCATAATCTTGAAAATAAAGTAACACACCGATAGTTGGAACATAAGTATAGTCAAATTTTAACGTATACACCCATTAAAATCTAAAAAGCTCTTGATGCGATTGTTGTATTATGATAATGACTACTTTACAAGTTTATTTTTCAATATTTCGTTGCACGATATTATATTGGTATGTGTATATTTTATATCTAAACCATCGGTAGGTAGATACTTATATGTAATAATTTAGAAGATTTGAGAAGCATGTAAAAAAAAAAAATGTTAAAAAATTGTCCTCCGAGTATAATGAAACCAGCGAGTTTCAGATCTCATTAAGTCTCATGGACAAGGTGGAGAATACAATTGGTCTTTCGAACATCGTTAATGGTGTAAAGACTATAAATAACAATATATAACGATTACGTCGATACTATCATTAGAAATGTTGTGCCACATGTTTTTCATTTTCATACGAAGAGCAAAAAAATAAGTAAATCTATCGGTCCGGTTTTRCCACTCTCCTTCGTAGTCAAGAGCAGCGTTTTATATCTACCCCACGCCTGCAATATAGACACTCTTGGTACAAGGTCACGTCCTTGTCCTTCTGTGACGTGATAGACGCGTTTTAATGATTTATCATTTAGAGGGATATTACTGGAATTTTATGTTGGAGACTGAAGAGCTATAGAAACGGTTTTTTTTAAGGAGTTATCATTTATAACTTATAAGATTATATCCTCAATGCTTTATATTCGTGTGCGGTTCGGTGCAGTAATTATTACGATAATTGTTGTATTGAATAAAAGAAAAAAAATTGTAAACCAATTATACTCGTAATACTTTTTAAATTATGTCGGTAGCTTAAAATTAAAAGAACAGAGATAATTGGTTAGAAAATACTATAGTGCTTTATTTTTTTCTGTGGTCTAACTCGTTTAAGAGTAATTTATTTTTCATCATAATAATATTATGTCTGTGTTAATATGATTTAAAACTGATGGTTATTTATTTACTTCAGCATTTCAAACTAATAATAGTTGTAAAATTTAAAGTGAAAATAACTTATTATTAATTTTGATGTTTATAATGAACCCCTTTCCCTTAACCTAACATATTTTGGACCCCCGTCCAAATTTAAATACTCAAGAACTCTTTAAGCTCAATGCTGACAGATTTCTAATAAGATTTAGAACTATTATTGCATTTTTCAAATATTAGGATAAGTTTAATTTTTTTGAATCGTGGAATATCTTAATACTGCAGTGGTATAATCGTCATAATTTCTATACCGATGCGCACTATACACTATACATATACTACGGTATAGTAAGCATTAATCCTGTTTGGTTATAGCAAAATATAGTATTACAATTTATAAGTCATAATTTAATWATTTAATTATTAATTGCAAACCTACGATAATACCCGTTGCGCTGTCGAATGACGGATCTGCAATATCACATTATTTACATCTCAAACATAAAAACGACACTATACACGCGCGCATTACCTAGGTATACATCGATCAACAAAAATCAACCACGGTTATGTACCATAAACTATACAATATAAATATGTGTATATTACGATGTTATCTACCACTACCACRGTATATAAAGATAATATATGTATAGTGTATACTGTCATCGTATTCTGTGTACCCGTGTCCGTGATCAGAATTTCTTCGCTATCCACCAGATATAGTATTATTATTTAGGTGAAACGATTAGTTCACTATAGTCATCATTGATAACCCACTCTGTGAAGCGGTCGAATATGTTCAACTATTTGGTTATATACCTTATGCCTCGCGGTAACAGGTTGACCACATACACACATCCGCATGGAATACGACGACAGTAATATTACAGTATATTTTTTAAAACTATACTTATTGTATACCGTCCGGGCAACGACCATATCAGGTGTGCTATATCATATCAGGTGTGCTATATCATATCAGAATAATATGTCAATATGGACGATATCGTACTATATTATACAATGCTTACCGCGACGTTTAGCGGCTTCATGTCGGCGGCKGGCAAGTGAACGGGTAGACGAGAACGCAATAATATGGCACGTGACCAGCGATCGATTGATGACGATCCTGACGAGCTTGACTGGACGATGTGCACGACTTGTGGCGACGGTGCTATGTGATGATGGGCGCGAGTGCAGACGTTATGTAAAAACGTGTGCGACTGAGACGATGGCCGGAGTGGTCGCGCAATGCATTTGCGGGCTCGCGGACGACGCAGAAGAAGAACCTACTCGGCTGCGGCGGCGGCGGCGATTCGTGCGACCGACCGGGTAAATGTTATTTCCCCCCCACGACACCATCGCGTAGACGCGCGAGGAGAACGCTAATTTTTAATTATATATATTATATACGTAATATATTTGTGTGCGTAAGCGTATGCTATATTATGACGTATAGTCAGACATGGGTAAAGTACTTTAAAAAAAGTACATTTGGAATAAATACGCAAATATAGTTTTTTTTTTATTATTATTTTATTGAATGGAGTTTATTGAAAATATACACCCTGTACATTATATACAATAAGTAAATATGATGTGGTAAAAAATAATTTATAAAAAGAAAAAAAAATGGCTTTGAGTAGCTTGAAGGAGGACTTGCAGTCAAGTCACCTTTTACAAAACGCGAATATACTTATAAATAATAGTAGGCATTCGAATACTTTATAAATATTCTAGATACTCTTTAGTTTTTGTTTTAAATATTGAACCAATAGTACTTTTCTTCAAGAAAATTAGAAATTAGCGCCAACATATTAAGTAGTTTAATAGTTTTAAATATAATATTAGGTATAATAATTCAAGTTATTGATACTTGATATCAAAAAGTATTTTAAAAGTATTCTGAATACTGCTCAAGACTGACTATAATATATTGTATTATATTTTAATATTATATATCACGCGTAAGAGATGCTCTAAAGTTTGCTGTCGACCATTCGGCGGCTAGGATAAGATGATTTTATGATTATTAAATTCTTTCCCCTACCACAGTACCGTCCCATACAGTGACAACCAGAAGAGCGCCTGTCACTCCAACCGATTATAATATTAATTTCAAATAAGTAATAAATAACCCTATTAGTTGTTATAAATTATATTATACTTTTGTAGTACATAGACTTCCTAAAAATCTATCTCCACACCACTCATACGTCGTCAATGTTCATAAAAAATAATTAATTAATGTTATAATGTTTGACTCCACTATTTCAAGAGAATATTATCGTTAATACTGAATATAATAAAGTAGGATATATAATAACGACACAGTGACCTATGCATAACATGTTTATAAAACGATKATTTTTATTTTATTATTATTATTAGCTCTCGAAATTGCAGTTTTGCATATTATGTTCTTATACATATACTATTCAACTCATAGCAAATTATACTTTAATAATATCATAATTTTATCCATACATAATTACATTTTATATGTAGGTTATAGATCGTATTTCATAAAGACTTTTCACCAAACTCGAAATAAATAACGTGATTTTAATTCTAAGATAATCCAATAAAATCATATTTTGGCCTTCCGTGAGAAACTGCAAAAATGAAGCTATATATGTCCAAGTTTTTACACCATGAAATATCACTCATATTCTCGTGAAAGTATTGAATTCAAAGTATTATTTTATTATAGCGGTTGTCATTTGCCTTATAGTTTTGAAAATAAAAAAAAACAGAAGTTTGATTAAGTTATATAATAGAGCTAGGTGTTGATAAAGCAAAACACATTTTACAACGATCTACGAATTACGATCAGTGATCACTTATATTCAACTAATATTATCTTCTCCTATTTATTTTATGATAACCTGCTCGATGTATTACCATCTAAATGATGCCATTGCAGATTCGTTTTATATTGAAAAACGAATAATATTACCGTTATGAATGTTATGATATTTTATAATGATTAATGAATCATGTGTACCTATGTTTCATTATTTAAATCGAACGTGCAGAATTTATTTTCTGTACAGCTTCAGCATTTACGACATCTACTGTGACTAAACTTATAATTACATTGCAGGAACTGCACATATTCCCGATGAATATAAAAACATACTGTATTATATATGTAATAATAATAAATGATAGTGTGTATCCTAAACATCGTAAATCTATCATTGATCTCGAGGAAAATATTAAAGCAAAAACTTCAACTCAAATATTATAAATCAAATTATCTTACCTATAATTAATCGATCAAAAATTTGCATGTAGCAATATCACATTAATTTTCTATACTGACTAAGTTATTTGCCAAAATAAACGTATAAATCATTTATATTCTATATTGTAACCTCATTATTACTTTTAAACATCTAAATAATAACAAACATTAATAATTTTCAAAATTATAATATTATTAACGTCCCCAAAAGGTTATTTTCTGATTAATTTGGATCACGATTTCTTAAAATGTATTTAGGTCGAATACAACTATTATTGCTTTTATATCTATATAAATCTAAAGAATTTGTTCTGGCTACTGAAATATTTTATCATTCTACTCAGACACCCAGCCCTTAAAATAAGGCCCAACGAGATCTATGTAGATCCAGCTTATGATTAGGTTATTGGATCAAGATTATTAGATTAAAAATAAATGTTTATAAATATGTTGACATTGAATTATGAATTGATATAACAGAAATATAATTTTATATTAAAAAGGACGGGGTTAATTTCCTACAGAGCATCCCTAAAATATYATATATCTATAGTTATAATAACTATACATAATATAATGAATAAAATAAATATACTAATTTTAACTTTTTGACCGTGCGTTAAAGTCTACAAGTAAAAATAATATTATAACGAAATGTTCATTAAAAAAATATACTCACTTATTAATTAAGTCTTACTCTCATCGATATAATACTGTGTAGGTGTATTATGTATTATTATATGTATATTCATGTATTGGAAAAAAAGGTTTATGAATATAGATAATTTATATAAGTGTACCAATATTTATAGTTAATGTATTATTATGATCTTAAGAATTGTATTATTCCATAAACAAGTATAATAAATACGTAGTTCTGATAAGCTTTTGACAACTTTTTTAAAAAGAATTTATATATATTTTACTTATATTTAAAATTAAATATGAGTACAAAAATACTCAATAATTATATCAGATATAAAAACATTTTATATCAAAAATAATCAATTAAAAAAAATTATAAATTTGGCACAAATTAAGTCTAAGTGTATCTTTATTTATATATAGGAAGTGTAATATATGCTAATATTAAATTATTATTTATTCACTCCTTATATGATTAYAGATGATGAATTCGATAAACGTTCAAATATACTAATCAATCTACCATATTGTATAGAAGGATTTTTCGATCATCTTAAACTATAATATAATGTTTGACATTTTCATCTGATAAATAATTAAATGATAACCATTTTGGGAGTGATCTAACATGTTAGCCTGTACAATGGAGGAAAGAAAGTCAGTGAAATCAAATATTCGGTGATAATCGAAGATTAAAATATAAACGGTACATTTATCCGCAGAAGAACATCGAAAAAAGTACTCAAAAACTCTGCAATCTGATCACTTTMATACAACATGTCATATATGCAGTTGAAATGTAAGTTTTGGAGTACATAATATACCTKTTGTATATTTTATGCTGTCAGCTATGTATTTATTATTGTTGATTGATAATTATATGGTGGTATGATCCGAGATCGCGTGATTATATAGTTTCAAKAGAYTGTGCAAAAAATAACACGATATTATGCAGAATAAATAAGCCAATAGGTCCACAATTATAACGGAACCCACTTGTAGGTATGGAAATTKATTTAAAAATAATATGTAAACAATCACAAATTATAATTTTACACTGTGTACTCAACTACTAAAGTTTTCCTGCAGTGTACTATAATCCGGATAATTATATGATTATATCCATTTGGTAATGAAAAWATAATAATTTGACAGTATAGTATGTATAAGTACTGGTGATTAAATAACACTTTATAATCAACAGACATACGCCAWGAATTTACATAAATGGTTACATATATGATGATGATTAAAATATTGTGAACAGGAAGCCTGTTGGTATATTTGCATAATAATTATAGGAATGAGGTAAAAGTTCTAATATTATAACAATATAACGTACAACAGTCAACAATTAATGTCAATGGGCGCCACTGACCAATGTGCAAATATATAAGTATACATGCAGTGTATTTAGAATCACAATAGACGTACTAAAATAAGACTAAATTATTTTATATTTACAGAGTATTGACGATAAATTAGTTTATTAATTTTAAACTATTTTGTAACTCGTTATACACCCTACAAAATACGAAGGCTATCCAATACTCATCATAGGTACAAYATTTTGTATATATAAAAAAAATCATTTCACAGCAATTAGTTGCTATCTTTTTCAATATAATTATCTAGTATATAATCAAAAATCCTTACAGCTTTTCAGTGTAGGTTTTAATGACATCAAATCATTCGTATAGCAATCGCTAACTTCTTTGGGCGATAATAAGAATAAGCCAAAAAACAATTTTAATATTCCTCCTATTTCGGAATCGTTATTTTTAAATTCTTTTGAAAGCCTTAATTGTTGTATCTYCCTCCRCCATGCTTTAATTGAGCTAAAGGTCATACTTCAGAGATCGCTACATGAAAGRATCTTTCAAAGTCCGCATATATTTTATCTGGGTTTGAATAATTTTGAATTAAACGAAAAGCTTTTTTGTATTTGTTGTTAGTTTTATTTGAAAGTAAAAAGAAAACTAAAGGAACATAGTGGTTATTTTTTACACCATGAACTGTAAAAAKTTGGTGAAAAAGCTTGGGCAACTTTTGAATGTACCGTCAATAAACACAGTTTTCATTTCACGTAATACTTCCAAATTGTTATTACATGAAAATTCAATAATATTGATTTCTGCACTGTTAATAAATAAAATATGTTCACCCCGATTAGTCATAAAATTATAATTTTTTAATATATTACGAGTCTCATCCAATGTTTTAGGCAAGGTTGGTACTGTACCTACTACACCRACTTGCAGGTATATTTTTTCGAATCTTACATAMATCTTGAGCATCTATGGTTTCAATGTCGCATTTGGACAACTCACAGCGAATTATTTTTGCTGGTTGTTCATGCAATACTTCCATAGCTTTTCGTTTTGAACTGTTATTTAATT